CAAATATTAAAGTAGTGAAAAAATGTTTAAAAAAAGAAAAGAAAGAACAAGAAACACCTATGGAAAGGAAACTAGGTTACAAAAAAAATTTAAAACTATAAATTATAGACTACTCAAAATATAGAAAAATAAAATAAGAACATATGGAAATTGGACTAAAATTCAATACAATAGAAATGTTGGATTCTGAATCTGACATCTAGAGCTTCAGGTATGATGAGGGATTGAGGTGATGTCTATACAATCAAGTGAAAACATTCAGACAGAAACGACAGATTCTAATTCCAGTCCTTTGAGAATTGAAGATAATATCAACTGCCTAAGTGGATATTTCTCCAAGTCAGCAGTGCCCAGCTACAGCGTACTGCTTCTGCTGAGACAAAATCAGACTCAGTTAACAGGGAAGTAGGAAAGTGTTTTCATGGGTGGAAACTAGATGAGAGCTGTCAGGACACACACGCACACACACTCATATACACACACACACACACACACACACACACACACACACACACACATACACATACATACATACACACAGGCTTTATGCAGCATGCAGAAAGGGAAGTGTGTTGGGATATAGTGAAAACAGAAGCAGATGTGTGGCGCAAAGCCTAAAGAAGAGACTAACAGGTACTCACTGAGAAGAAAACCTCTCTCCTCTACCACTGCTTGGAAGAACAAAGAGAGAGCTATAAGACTTTGCCCAGTATTTTGATGAGTGCAATCAGAGTAAAAACAGGTTAGCTGACCCACGGCTCCTTAGTTCTTCAGTCACACAAAGCCCTGAAAGTAGAAATATCCCCAAACCTCAGACACGGGGTTGATATTCTTTGGTATACCACGTCAGATGAAGGATTTATGGCAGAAAAGGGATGTTGGTCACAGTTATCATCCTTACCCAGGTCAGTCTGACTTAACTGGTTTGACTGTAAAGGAACCCTCCTCTGCACCTGTGAAAACTGATACAAATGAGAATCAAAGGAAGAAAGAAACTATCACCACAATAACAAAGAAGTACTGGCTGGGAGAAAATGTGCTCTATTTTCTGTTATTATTCATTTGTAATATTTATATTTTTGTACTTTAACTGCTCAGTTGTGCTTTAACTATTATTTCCTCAGACAAGGCTAGCAAGTTGCCCTTTCTCTTCACCTGATTTGGAATATTCCCTGCTATTTCTCATTTATTTAAGCCATATGTTCTTCTTATTATTTGCCTCTCTTTGATCCCGTCCCTGTTGTCTCCCAGTTTCACTAATATCAATGCCCTGAGCTCTAAAAGCAACTGTAAGCCACTTTACCCCCAACCGCTATTCTAGTATCACTGTCTGAAACTTACCAGAGACACAAATTAAATGCACATCTTCCTCTACAAAAGCAAAGAAATAATATTAAAAGCCACAACAGAAATATACCAACACATATGCAAAAGCAGAAACATCAGAATGTTTCAAGCAAAACAAAGCTAGGGAAGCATAATATGTTCTGAGCCTTGAAAAAAATGCCAAGTAAGATTACTGTACTCAGTAAAGTCACTTCTTAAAAATGGTGAAATAATATTTCAAGACGAACATTAACCAAACCATCAGTATAGAAGACACTATGTGGAGAGAGAAGAAAGTCACTATCATCCACAAGAACACAGAAAATAATATAGTTCATGAACAGATGAACAGAGAGGAGTGGGAATTCATTCATAGCATAGAAAACAGAAGCCCAGAAACATATCTGATATTGACAGAATAGGAAGAAAAGAAAAAATAATAATGCAACCAACCAGAAAACAAAAGACAAATAATAGAATATGGCCAACTTTTTCCAAAAATACACTTAAATGAAAATGCCATGAACTCATCAATTAAATGATGCATAGTAACATATTGAATTCTCCTTTGAGATTCCATTTTATACCTCTCAGAAGGCTAGGATCAATAATACAAGTGACAGCTCATGCTTGCAAGGATGTGGGATAAGGGTAACACTCTTCCCTTGCTGGTGAGAATGAAAACTTGTATAGCCACTATGGAAATAAGTATGGAAGCTCTTCAGAAAGGTAAGGATTGATCTACCTCAAGATCCAGGTATACCATTCTTGGGCATTTACCTAATGGACACTTCATTCTACCATAAAGACATTTGTCCAACCATGTTCATTGTTGCTCTATAAATAAAAGACAGAAACTGGAAACAACCTAGATGTTCTTCAACAGAAGAATGGATAAAGAAAACGTGGTGATTAACACAATTGAATATTACTCAGCTGTTTAAAAAAGCATCATAAAATTTGCAGGCAAATGGATGCAACTAGAAAAAAATCATCCTGAGTGAGGGAACTCAGACCCAGAAAAATAAATATGATATATAATACTCATATATGAATATTAGCCATTAGACAAATTATGACAAAACTACAATCCATAATCCCAGAGATGTCAGGTATACAGGAAGGGACAAGGAATGACATATGGATCTCCCTGGAAGGAATAAATAGAATAGATTTTAAGGGTGGATTATTGCCAAGCTCTTGTTGTTCCCTGTATGACTTGATAGTTTTCTTTTCTGTATATAAACTACTGATTTGCAGAAGTAAAATAACAGCAGATTCAAACCACTTTTGAGTGTGTTTGTCTGTCAGTCGCTGAATCCTTGCCTTCCTGACTACCCAAGCCCTGATTCTCCTACGGTCGTGGTACTCCCGGTGGGCCAGTCCGTGGCAACCAACCAATGGCTGATTTGACTTAAAGCTCACTCCATGAGACAGAAGCCATATACTGCTTGGCTTTCTAAGAACTATAAATTAGAGAGCCCAGAGAACTACAGTAAAACCAAATACACTGGTCTTTAAAACAAAAAAGTAACAATAAAATGACTTCTAATGATATTCTGCCAAAATCATAAATAAGTGCCTTATTCAGCCATCATCAGAGAAGTTTCTGCCTGAAGCAAATGGAAACAAATACAGAAACCCTCAGCTAGACATTGTGCAGAAAGACCTTGTAACACACAGCTCTAAATGGGATATCTCCATCAAATCTCTCCCATCAGAGTTCAAGGAAACCCTGGGAAGAGGAAGTCAAAAGAATGTAAGAGCCAGAGGGGATGAAGGATACCAGGAGAACAAGGCCCACTAAATCAACTGATAAAAGCTCATATGAACTCACAGAGACTGAATTAGCAATGTATATATATATATACACATTTCATTTAAGTTTAGTATTTTTATGGGACTCCTGTCCAACTTCATTGTGATTTTTTTTACCTTATTATGTTTCATTTTCTCATGTTTTGTTGTTATTTCTTAGAAGTCTGATCTTTCTAATGAGACAGAAAGAGAGTGTGTACAGATGGGAGGGGAAATGGAGAGGAATAGGATGGAGTAAAGGGAGGAGAAACTCCCAGATATATTGTATAAGAAAAGAATCTATTCTCAATAAAGAGGGATACAAAGTTACCAGCTATCTTTGTCTCCAGAAAGCACACTTGACTAAAAAATACATGCAAAAATTGAGAATGAAAGAATGGAAATACACTCACCAGGCAAACATAAATACTAAACTAACTTATTCTTACAACAGACAGCATATGCTTCAGGCCAAAACTGGTCCATATCAATACAAGGAACACTCTTTTTCTTTAATTGTTATTGCTAAAGATCTATATATACACAAATATATTAAATACACTTTGCTCATTACAATTATTGTTACTTGTACATGATTTTAGGTCTGACAAATAGCATGGGGACCATTCAGAATCTCACAACTGATCAAAATACAGAGAACAACTGATTACGGAGTGTGCAGCATCAATGAATTAATCTATAAAATAGCTCTTGAATATAAGGCTCAGTTAACATTAAATGATAGGGGGCAGAATGACTGTAAGGGCCAGAGAACTAGAACCAGCAAATCTGATGGGAGATTGTAGGTCCTAGAAAGGGCAGGGGAGCTTTACCCATGATACCTGAACAATGTGACTGGCAAAACAAGACTTAGTCAAGGATAACACTAACAGGCATTCTAACATGGATAGGGGAACCTCCTGAGGATTCACCTTTAAACAGGACATTGATGCCAACCTGTGATGCAGGTAAGATCCCTACCTCCAACAAACAAGCAAAAAAAGTATTTTTATGTAGGCTGCTATTTATTTTAGGACAATTTGCTGTTGTTTATGGTTGTAGTGTTGGTAGTATTTGTTACATTTTAGATTTTACCCTGCTTTTCTTCATTCCAGACAAAGTCTCAATATGTAGCCTACAATGGCCTCAAACTCATAAACTTACTCCTCTACCTCCTCAGTGCTATAATTTCAGCTATGATATGTCAACATGCCCAGCTCAAGACCATTTTTTATTGCATATTAATAATACTTTGCTGGGTTAATATTAATATTATGGTAAACATAAATTTATATTTGAAGGAAAGTATACTTGACTGATCATCTACAGAATATAGTGAAATAAAAACAATCTGGAATTAAACTTGACTAGAATAACATTAATTGAAATCTAGAATATTTTATTGGTATTTCTATATTTACATTTCATATTTATATGATGCTATTGTTTGGTAGCAATGGCTGCAGGGAAACCTGCTCAACTGTTCTCACACAGACCGATGCTGAAGTACTTGTATTTGTTGAGGGACTATATCCTGAGCAGCCGTTTTGTTGCAGGGCCTTCTTTCAATATCACTATTTGTGATAGAATAAATATGGAGGAGAGCTTTGGTGGCTATAGATGTTCAATTTATTCTACTAGGGTTCCATTACCAACAAGTAATTAAACCATGTGCTTTCTTGGCTGGGAAGAACAGTACTGAACCAAGGGGGGCCTGCAATTTTAGTCTCTGTCATGAATTTCCCCTAAAAAGGGCGTTGCTCTATGTCATCCCAAAATGCTTTATTTGAACTACTGGTTCCTAAATTCTGCTCCTCTAGATTGTCCTATTTTCTCATTCTGAATTTTTTTTTTTTTTTTTTTTTTTTTTTTTTTTTACAAGTTCAAGTATTCTTTATTCAAAGTTGAAAAATGTACCATACTGCATTATTGCAAAAATTCACTGGTACAAAACACTTTGCAGCTGGTGAGAAGGCAATAAAAAGTTGATTTTTAAACTCATTACTATAAATTACTGTTACAGTACTTTGCAAATTCAGAATTTCAAACTGCATTTTCTTTTTCTAAATTGCCCACAGTACTCAAGGTTCCTGAAGCTAAGGCAGCTGTTTCAGAGAGGAGGGGAAGAGGTAGCAGATGTCAAGGGATTTCCATTTCTCTTTCGATGCCCACATACTTCAGGGCATCAGCCTGGCTGTATCTGTAATCAAAAAACAGCTCTTCACCAGTCTGGATGGCTCTCTTAGCAAAGATCCCTATCCTGTGGTCACCATTAACCATCATAACTTTTGCATAGCAGTTTGGATTTACTGAATGATTAGCAAAACGAATTTTGTTGCCCTTGCGGGTTGCATCCACCACAAAATCGTTGTTCAAGTTGAACAGGAAGCTGCACATGTACTTGTCGTACACTTTCCCTCTTCTGTCCGCTTCATCCTGAGAAATGATCTCTCCACAGTACTCTGAGATGAATTCATTTTTCTGCACAGGATCTTTGATGAAGATTCCCCAGCCTGCCACATCGGAGGGTGCCAGCAGTAAGTGCTTTTTAGAGCCCCGCTGAATACTGCAGTTCTTGCAGGACACGTTCTTGCTGTCCCAGTGGTCGGCAGCCCCACATGTGAGGCAGAGGTCAGGGTCACACTCGCGCACAGCCAGGTAGCACGGGCACTGCTTGGTGTTGCACTGTGCTTTGCACCGGCACCCAGGAAAGCGGTTTTGACCCTTTTTCAGCTGTATCTTTCTGCAGTGCGCCGCCCACAACCGGTGTTTCCTTTTCTTCTTTCTTGGGGGAGTGTCCACATCCTCAGTGGGGACAGGTGCTATGACACTGGACTCTTTGACTCTGAACTCATACACCTGCCTACATGTTTTGGTCCCAATCAGCCTAGCGATGGCACAGAAATTATCGTAGTAAGTCCCGATGAGGACTCGGAACATTGAGGCTTCAGCACCACTCCACTCCACGTTCTCGGGAGGTTCAATGTTTGGCTTCATCTTTATGGGTGTTTGACACCGAGAATTCGCTTCAGAGGAGCTGGAGGTTTCATCTTTTTTCTCTTCTTCTTCTTTATCGTTGTTCTCGCCCCCAGTTTCAGTCCCTGCCTCCCTGTCACTGTCCGTATCCTTCGACTCCAGCACACTGATGGTGGGGGTGCTGGGTCTGCTACTGTTATTTGGAAGCCTTCCTCTTCTGCGGCCCCCTGGGCGCTTGGGTGGTGTCTTTATCCTCTCAGCAGTGAGGGCAGCGGCAAACTCCTTAGCTCCCTCCAGATGCTGGTAACACTGTGCTCCACAAGGCTTGTTGTCCAGAGCTGTTTCCGTGTTCTTCCGCTTATAGGTATTGGGTGTTGCGTGGAAGGGATGTAGGAAGCAGTCATACTTAAAACATCGCCGACAGAAAAGCGTATGAAATGAATGCAAGCTCTGCTCCCTCTGAACAGATTTAGCATTTGGTCCATCTATGTTTGGGGTGCATTCAGGAGGCAGAGCGCCCGGGAGCTGCTGCTCAGTGAGCTCTTTATATTTTTCTTTCAGTTCCTCTGCTGTGCCCTTATCTGGAAACATTGAGGAAATAGCCTCAAAAATTTTATCAGCAGGAAATTTCCGAGGTGGGCAACTTTCTTTATCATCTTGACTGTCCTCTAGGTCTTTCTGTTTGTCTTCTCTTTCATCAGGATCATCGCCATCATCATCATCGTCATCATCGTTATATTGACTAAGAGCATTTACCAACTCAACAAAAATTTCATCATTTATAAATCCACATTCTCTGTCTCCATGCACTTTTCCATCATAATTTTTTATTAGTTCTTCAATGAAAGTGCCATCCTGATCTAGCACTTCGTCCCCCATATAAGGAATGTTGTGTAAAACAGTTTCATCTTCCACCATAAAATTCTGCTGTAAGGGAGACCAAGAATACATTATGGGCACCGATGCAACTGCATTCAGGGTCTTTAATGGGATGACTTGTGCTGGAAAATCCAAGTCACTGGTCACTGAACACTCCCTAGTCCCGCGCAATGAGCTCACAGAAGTCATGATGTGCACAGGCTGGATCCTTCGCTGCTTCCATTCTTGGTTTAAGGTTTCTGTTCTTTCCAAAATTTTCTGACGATTGGAACTAAACATAGTCTTTACTTCATCAGCTCTTCTGAACCTCTTCAGCTGTCTCAGTCTCATGTACTCTGATTTTACACGCTTCCGCCAACAAACCGGTCCCTTCTCAGATTTCTTCCCAGTCTGGCCCATGATTATTCACACAGCCAGGCCTGACAAGCCCCTCTATGGTGAACATGCACAAACTTCTCGTCACTTTCCCTAAACAAGACTAAACAACAAACAATGCAGCCACTATTTAACAGCATCTGTGTTGTCTAGTTACTGTAAGTATACCACAGAAAACTGACGTATATAGAAGACAGGCACAGGCCATGTCAATCATCTCTCCATTTATAGAAGGAGTCCACGGATTTCAGTATCCAAAGGGCTACTCCAATCAGTCCCCTCAGACATAAAGGGACCACTGTAGTTGCAAAAAATGAAAGTGAAAAGGTCTCTCATTCTGAATTTTAAATCAAAGCTATTTTCCTACAGAGATGGCTGGATAGACATCTACTCTAATTTTTAAGGCATTTGAAAGCCAAAAATTTAAAGTCAATGGCAGATCAGACTTCTGTGTAAAACTGTAGACTAGAAGCTATAGCTAATGACTGGATGAAAACACAAGGTGAAATGTTTAAAAAACAAACATACAAAAAAAACCTGGCCAAACAAACAAACAAACATACAACAACAAAACCAGAAGTAAATTGAGTCAGGAATGCTTCTAAGAAAGGAACAATTTTTACCAGCTCTGTAAAACAGGAGGTAATATTTGAAGTGAACAAATCTCCTAGTCAATAAATAGACTAAAGAAATTAATGGACAGTTTCCAAAGAATTCCTAATAAAAATTTCAAAAGGTGAATCCTTAGGCATTAGAAAAAGAGAAAAAAAGAAAAGGTATTTTGATTTTCTACATCACCTATGTCAAATGCTGGAGAGAAGTGGGGAAAGGGAAAATCCTCAGTCACTATTGACTGGAGTGTACTGAGGCAGCCATTGTGGAAAAAGCATGAGTTTTCAGAACTTACAAATGGCAAAGCTATACCACTCCAGAGTGTTCACCAAAAGAACTGACCTCAGTCCTGCCACATAGGTGCATATAGGTCCATGTTTATTGGTGAATAACTCACAATGGCTAGAAACTGAAATCATCCTAGATATCTACCCAGAGATGGTGGGGTAAAGAAATGTGTATATACACCATGAAATTGTATTGCAGCACATAGAAAAAAGAAATCATGGCATTTATAGAAAAATGGATGGAAATTAATTTTATCAAATTAATGAAAGTAATCCAGACTCAAAAACACAAATACCACAGGCTTTCTCTCACATGTGGATCCTAGATTCATAGGAGGAGGTAATGGTCAGGAAGAAAGGGACAAAGGTGGAGAATTAAAATCAACAAAAACAAACTATGCAAGAAAGTATTATAATGAATCCAATACATCTTATGCTAATTTCAAAATTAATGATTTAATAAAAAAGTCTAGTGGCAAAGATCCAATAATTAACTTTTGTAAACATGAATATTTCATAGCCTGGCAGTGTTTCTACCACCTCAGTCTGGTTTATTCTAGAGTAAGAAACTAATCTGCTGGGATGGTTAACAACACTATCAGTAATAAAAGGTAAGGGTGTATTTCTTTGTGGCTAGCAATCATTTCACAGAGGTTGGAGCTATCTAAACTATTGTGTAGCAGTAGTCCATAAAAGAATCTCTCCTCACTGCTTGAAAGTTTTAGTAAAGTAAAGACAGAGATAGGATGGGTCCTAGTGGGATAAACCCATATACCAGCAACTCAGGGTGCTAAAGTAAGAGGATCTCAAGTTTAAGTTCAGGTAGGGTGTCTTAGCAAGATCTTTTCTTAAGCTAAAAATGGCAAAGGCTAGGGTTGTAACTCAGTATTACACTATGTGCCTGTCATGTCTGAGGCTGTGTATTCCATCCACAGCACCATATCACCAAACAAACAATAAATGTTTGTGGCATTGTGGGCCAAGCAGTTTCTTTGCCAACTCTTCAGCGCTATAGTTTTAGCACAGGTGTATTTTGTAAGCAATTGAGCTGTATACCAATAAAACTTTATTTTCAGGGAACATACTATCTATAGTTATACTGACCCATAGCCTACATAAATACATCATCTTCATTTGATTTGCTTAAACATATATTCCCAATTATAAGGACAGGATTTCTGATATGAAAAGTTAGAAATATCCAGGCTAAGGAGGTTAAATGAAATATAAGAGATAATATCCAATATGCCAGGCATCTAATAAACATGAAATGAAAGTTGGCTGCACTGAAAATCTAATTCACACTTCAAAAATAAATTTATAGCACAATGTTAGCTAAAGCAACTTGAAAGTGAAATTTTTCTCTTTTGTTTTTACTGTCCTTTCTTCTCAAGCTTTAGACTTTTAAAAATATTTTTCAATATCTTCATTACTATGTATGCCATTTTTATAGTTATTCAGCAACTCTAAGCTTTCACATAAACTGGAATTCTTCAATATTGCTGTCTTAAGGGATATTTTAATAGGCTATTGACTGCAATTCCCTCAGTGTTTCATTTACTACTGTTTTGAAGCTTAAATTCATAAAATAATGGATGTCACTATCACAAAAATCAATGTAAGTCCACATGCAAGGATGAGACTAGCTCAAGGAGTTAGTTTATACTTCTGTGACATTTTGGAATTATGTGAGACTGGGGTTTGACATACTGTTCTACCCACTATCATCCATTCAGAGAGAAATATAGATGTCTCAATGGGTTAGCAAGATGTGTTATAGTGATGTCAAGTAAAATTTTGCATGTTTCCATTTATATTCAAATTCATCTCATTGTTTCCTGTTTTTATGAATATTCCTGTCAATGCCATAATTTTCATCTCAAAAGGAATAAGAGATCGTATAGTGTAGAGCCAAATATGAGTGACCATGGTCAGGAGCACAGATTTAGATTATCCCAAATTCTACATCCAAACTGGTAGTAATTTCAAAAATTTTAATAGTAACAGAACAAAAAAAATCATGTATCAAAGCACTTTTCAGAAACGTGGATGAAAACATTGGGTGGTTACAGGAAAGCAGGCAAATCTCAATTATAAGTCTCAGATGTTATCTGATGATTTTGGTTGCTGAAAACAGAGTTTTGTTAACACATTCCAAAGAGTTTCATCTGTCAGTCACGGGATGTTAGGTCAGACACAGAGGTGAACAAAGAATGCCTTCTTAGGGTGCTAATATTAGCTAAAGATAAATTGTGATTTGGTTCTGGACCTGTAATATTCCAGCCTCAAGGTCATTAAATTTTCAAATAGTTAATCAGCCTCACAGATGATTTGGTGATGTGGTTATTTTTGGGAACTTTCATTCACATGCCCAATATATTATTGGAGTCATGTATGTACAAAATGCGGGATCTACAATGAAAAGGTTTGGAAATAATTGGTGTATTCTTGATAATACTGTGAAACACTGTCATATGCTCACAGAATATTTGACATAAATATCCAGTGACACACTCATCCATTTAATGCAGTTTCAAGCCCTCTGCTTAAAGTAGGAATACATGTTTTATAAGCAGATTTAGAAATGGCTTGTATTGCATAACTTGGAGCAGTCTCCTGCTGAATTTCATGAATGGTGTATTCCAGAAGTGCATACTCTAGAGACAGAGCTGCCTGTCTTTCTTGCCTAGCATTTGGGATTCCCCAGACTGAGGTTTCTGTTGACCTGCACTTCCTCCTGCTTCCCTGCCTCATTCTTCCATGAAGAAGAAGCCATGTCTGACTGGCGCTGAGCTTTCAGCAAGAAAACTTTAGTTTTCCAGTGTCAGCCATTGTTTACAGTAGGATAGTTTTCACTGACAATTTTACTGTGTTTGTGTCTGAAACCCAGAATAATCTCCATTGCTAAGGCCAGTTCACACATGACCTAGAAACAGCTCTTTGGTTATTCCAAGTTAACAATGAATCTTTCTATCCCCTGTCTCAAATTCACTAAACAGCTCTCCAGGCTCCAACTTTACAAGCAGTGGGCACCAGGACTGAGGGGGGAAGCTGATACAGGGTTCGACCCCTATCTAAAAAGCTATTTGCAATTCATACTTGTTGGCAAAAAGGAAGTGATTATTCTCCAATGGAATGTCACCGGGTATATCAACCACACTCCTAGGCGAGCCCATGCTGAGGAGTAGTTGGCTAATACAAAATTAACTCCATGTTTGCTTGTGGTATTTTTGTTTCATTTTAGCACTTTGCTTTTGCCTTACTACTTTTTGTTGAGAAAGAACGTGAAGTTGGATAGGCAGGAAGGTGGGGCAGGATCTGGGAGTATTTGGAGGAGAGGGAAAAACATGATCAAAGTATACTGTATGAAAAGTAATAAAAAATAAAACCTTGTCTTCTTCAAAAAATATTGCACATAGTGAGAATAAAGCTGGTACCTCTAACAATATAGTTTGCATCTCCCTAACCAGATCTGTCTGAGAAGCTGTAGGTTTACACAAAGTCCAGCTTTGTGCAAGCCTGGAAGAATAGTTTCAGCTTATTATTATTGAGGAAACCAAGGTTAGTTCATGAGTGCTTACTCCCATTAACAGAAAATTTTAAAATAGACTTAGAGCCAGGTATGGTGGCATCTGTCTCTAATCCCAGCACTGAGAAAGCAGAGGCAGGCAGATTTCTGTGAGTTTGAGGACATAAAAAATTCCAGGCCAACTAGGGCTGTATAATGAGACCCAGTCTCAAAATAAAAAACAACAGGAAGGAAGGGAAAGAGTAAAGAACGAAAACAAGAAAAGACTGGGAAGGAAGTTTGAGAACAATTTTATAAAAGTTAGAAAGAAAGAAAAAAACAGACAAACTGAGAATCCAGGTAAAATCAGGAGAAGGAGAGAAAGCCGTGACTTTCTAATGGAGGTCAGCAAGCGGCTGTATAGTAAAGAGATAGTCTAGGGAATCAGAGTAAGGGCCAGGAAGCCCAGGGTATGAGGGAGTTTTATATTATGTCATTAATGGGACTAAAGACCCAAATAAGGAACCACAATTTCCTGGTAACCAAGCATGGGGTGGGAATGAATCCCTGATGAGAACAGCAGTTAGGAATTAGCTAGGCAGTTTAGGGTAAAAAGACC